TACAAACAAAATGGTTTTTCAAGGGACCCACCAACGTTAGAAAAGCGGAAGTCTGTAGGTAAATCAACGTCAATTACATTCCATACGTCAACCTCAGACAAGAATGATTGCGAGGACCCTCTATTTTTATGTAATATTGGATCTTCGAATCATCCAACCTCATTCCAAGAGGACAGTACAGAAAGTACATTTGCGCGGGAAAATGGATTGTCGTTTGATCAAAGTGCAGGCAATAGTTTGCAGTTATCAAGACATGATAACTCATTAATTCTGGATACGTCTGCAGAATCCACAAACACGGGAATTGGTAATATTGTCGATTCGTTCCAAGGACTAAGATATAGATCTGCGACATGTGTGCGAAATGCTCTGGAATGCACTTCAAACATTGCTCTGCAAACTGGGCGTGGAGCACGCTACGTCGGCAGAAAAACAGTGGAAGGAGCAACAGGGCTGCTTCAAAGAACAGGACATGGAACACGTGTTGTTTTTGCAAAAACTGCAGACGGTGTCCATTACGTCATCGAGTCAACATGCAGCCAAACTAGACGTAGATGTGTTGCTAGGAAAATATGTGCTGCAGAAAAATCTATTCTCTGTTCTATTGCTAGGGAAAATTTGAATTGGAATGTTTACGAATACATGCAGGAGTTTGGTCAATATGGTGATGACACGGTAAGTACGTGTACAAGACCTGTGGTTTTGATATGTTTTGTTTATTCACCATAATGTTAACTATGTATTTTTAGTACTTTTGAATGATAAAAAAATATATTTCATTCAAAAAGCACTATCTCTGTTTATTAAAAAAAAAACCTATTCATTTTTTAATGTAATTAATAACAAAAGATTTAATCGAATTATTTTTTTAGAAGTATGCAGGATTTATTTTATTATTTTTTTTCTTTTACAGAATACAGCTCTTCATCTCGTCGCCGCTGTGTTGGTAAAATTTTCGGTTGACAAAGCTCGTTCCTATGCAAAGCGCCATCTGGATGTCAATATGTCTTGCATGCTTTCAAGCGACAGCTTAAATTTTACTGAACATGAAAATTTGCATGCTAGTGGAGATTTTTCATACGAAAATTTAATTTGAAATTTCGCCGTCTTAAAGATTTGGCAACCATATTTAAGAATTTAAGATGCATGGTACACAGGCTATCAGATCGTATAATTCGACTAGCGAAACGGGAGGGGGGTATAAAAAATGTATACCCTCAGTTTTGTCATTTAAGGATTAAAGCGATCCAGAGAACTGTGACATGTGATCATTAAATGATTTTTTGTTTGAACAAAAACAATCTGTGATTGTGAAATGGGAAGCAGATAAATCTTCATTTTGTTAATCATGAATGCTCGACAATTATGTCTTATCTTATTCATAGTAAAGTTTCATATTTAATGTAATCTGATGACTATAGTAAACAGGGTCTTCTCGAAAATAAAAATGGGAAGAAGGACGCCTACATGGACAACTTTAGCTCCCAGGTAACAGAATTGGGGGGACATATACAGCCGATCCTCATTAATCCGGGCGCTTGTGTTCCCGAACAAATCGTCCGGATTAATGAAGCTTCCGAATTACTGAAACGCATTTCAAGACCATAAATTGTTTAGTAAAAATTGCAAACTAATCTAATTTTTGAATGATTTTATGAAATACAACAAAATCGTTTGGATTAATGAAGCGTCCGAATTACTGAAGGCATTTCAAGACCATAAATTGTTTAGTAAAAATATCAGGCTTTTTTTACTTTTGAAATAATTTTTGAAAATAAAACAAATTTTTCATCATTTTTTATTTGAATATTTACACAAACGTACGACATGTTTGTTAAATAGAATATTCATCAAAATTTGTTTTCAGTTTATGGGCCTGTTATGTTTAGCTCAGATAAATGTAATTTCCGTTCCCAACAAACTTCGTCCGGAAGGCGAATCGTATTAATTTATTTTCAGTAAATAATAAATAAGCCCCCCCCCCCAAGGAACCCCTGACCCAGATACTATGAAATTCACAATTTTTGGACGAGGCACTCTTCCTCATCATAACTATGTGCTTAGTTCATAAGTTTAATACCCAGGAGCAGAGGAGAAGATTTTCAAAGAATTGATGCATTTTCACAAATATAATCATTAGAGCCCCGTCCTAACACTAGAACCCCTGACCCAGTGTCATGAAATTTACAATTTTGGAAAAGGCACTCTTCCTCATCATAACTATGTAATTAGTTCATCGGCTTAATAACCAGGAGCAGAGGAGAAGATTTTCAAAGAATTAATGCATTTTCACTATATAATCATTAGAGCCCCGCCTAACACCAGAACCCCTGACCCAGGAGCCAAGAAATTCACAATTTTGGAAGAGGCATCCTTCCTTATCATAACTATGTATCTAGTTCATAGGTTTAATAACCAGGAACAGAGGAGAAGATTTTCAAAAAATTAATGCATTTTTACCATATAATCATTAGAGCCCCGCCCTAACACTAGAACCCCTGACCCAGGGGCCATGAAATTCACTAGTTTAAGCCAAAGAAGCTGTATATCATTTTTTTCAAAGTTAGCATTTTTCGTGAATGGGATAAAAATTATAGTTCACTAATAAATAAATGATAGTCTATATCAAAAGTTTTATCGACAGAACATTTCAAAACCATAAGACTTGAAAACTTGCAGAGTAGAGGGCTAGGGGTGCATTGTCCTCCACTTTAGGCCGTGGTGTGCCAAGTGGGGCTTTGCACTGTACCGTTAAGAAGAATGTACTTGGCTTTTGGGTCTAATTTCAAATATCTGGATTTCAAAACTGCGTTCGCATAAATAATGCTTACAAGTGAAATTGCAAGCTTTTAATTATACAAGAAGCTCTCCGTTTTTCACGAATTTCACTCAATCCGAAACATAGGGAAAAATATGCATAATTTTTAAAATCAATTCAAGATAAAAACCTGGAAAAAAAGGGGAGGCTTTTCGATCTTGTTACTTAAGAAGAATCTACTTGGCTTTGGATTGGGTCAAATTTCAAATATCTGGATTTCAAAACTGCGTTCGCACGAATAACGATAAAGAGTGAAATTGCAAGCTTTTAATTATACAAGAAGCTCTCCGTTTGTCACGAATTTCACTCAATCCGAAACATAGGAAAAAATATGCTTAATTTTTAAAATCAATTCAAGACAAAAAACTGGAAAAGGGGGAGGGAGATTTTGATCTTGTTACTAGTTAAGAAGAATCTACTAGGCTTTGGATTGGGTCTAATTTATTCAAATATCTGGATTTCAAAACTGCGTTTGCATGAATAATGCTAACAAGTGAAATTGCAAGCTTTTAATTATATAAGAAGCTCTCTGTTTTTCACGAATTTCACTCAATCCAAAACATGGGAAAAAATATGCATATTTAATTTTATAAAATCAATTCAAGAAAAAAACCTGGAAAAAAAAAAGGGGGGCTTTTCGATCTTGTTACTTAAGAAGAATCTATACTGGGCTTTGGATCGGGTCTAATTTATTCAAATATCTGGATTTCAAAACTGCGTTCGTATGAAAGTGAAATTGCAAGCTTTTAATTAAGAAGCTCTCCGTTTTTCACGAATTTCACTCAATCCGAAACATAGGGAAAAAATGTATAGTCTTAAAATCAAATCAAGACAAAACCCTGGAAAGGGGGGGGGGGGCTTTTCGATTTCGTTACGGCACCTGCACGCCTACAGTGTAGCTATAGCTGGGTGCGTATCATTACCGCTACATTTTCAAAATTTTCATCACCACTACATGCATTACCGCTACAAAAAGGATACATTACCGCTACATTTTAAGATAGGGGTTTGTCTTCCGGATTGTTAAATGTAAAATAAATTTTAAAAAATTTTGAGTCTACTTTAAATACACTTAAAAGTTGTTCAAATAAAGATTCTGACACTTTCAGTCAAGAAAAACCACGTTGAAAAAAGACGTACCGCACCTAAAAAACGTGTTTTTTCTTGACTGAAAGTGTCAGAATCTTTATTTGAACAACTTTTAAGTGTATTTAAAGTAGACTCAAAATTTCTTAAAATTTATTTTACCTTTAACAATCCTGAAGACAAGCCCCTATGCATTTTAAAGTATACATGATACCGCTACATTGCCTCTTTCGTTCGCCAGCGTCTTATGCGTGTACAGTACAACATATACATGAATAAGACCTGTTTCCCCTGAGGTGAAAGTAGGACTTTGAACAGGATGGGTTTTTTTTCATTTTTTATTTAAAATCTACTTTATTTCATAAAACATTTTAAAAAGTTTAAAATCAAGCACTGTCCAAAGATAAAACACACATGCAGTCTTTACATTTCTTTAGACAATTGGTAAAGCTTTGAATGCCATTTGCTTGACATACTCGCTGTTGTCTTGTAATTTCGCCACTGTCATATTTTGTTTTCAGTTCTTTTTTCTACGTATGTAGCGGTAATGAGTTGTTTTCGGCATTAGTCCTTTTGAAAAAATGTAGCGGTAATGATCGCCCGAAAATTTGAGAAAATGTAGCGGTAATGAGTTGAAATTTATCACAATGTAGCGGTAATGTTGACCTCCTTATAGTGATGTTGTTGGTTTCCACTCGGAGACCACTATAGCTATCTGGAGTACTAACAATACAGTTCTGTAATTTGTATCAAAGCAGACGCATGACTGGTACTACATTTGCATTGTGGTTTTTTTTTGGGGGGGGAGCAGAAAAATATTTGCATTTTCAATATCGATAGCCAAAAAATGCATTTGAAACAGCTTATAAAAATCTTGTAATTTTCATAAATTGTCAAAATATGGAATGGCCATAATGTATCCATTTATCAACATCCTATCTAAATGGAGCTGACAAAAGACTAAGCTACACAAAATAGTTGACCCAGCTCAGGACTGTGGGTAGCACGTGACCTGAATAATTCGTCTTCTAATGTTTTCATCATGTTTGGTTTTAGAATGTATGTTTTCCCAGAATGCACCGTAATTGACATTCCTTTGCCGAAAAATCAACATGGCAAATGTTGAACCTGACTACGAGCAAAAAGGAGAGCACGGCGAAACAAAAGTCAAGATAATATGCTTAGGCGACAGTGCTGTAGGGAAATCAAAGTAAGTTTACAGGTAGACTGTTTTCATTTGGAGTATCCATGTATAAAACGAATGGGAATAACTTCAACTTGTGCTAATCCTTCCAACTTAATACTTATATTCGATATCATGTAAGCAAGTATACAGGATTATCAGAGTTAAATATATTAATACCAAGGAAATTAATGAATAAGAATAGATGTTACAAATTGATTTCCTGTCAAGCAATGACCGTCATCTGCAGGGGGTGCACATGCACTCATTTCATTGATGAAATTCAATCAATAATAACTGTTGACAGTTAAAAGGAAGGGAAGTCGCATATTTACTTTAATTTTGAAACATCCTAAAAATGTATTTTATTTTATTTTATTTTTCTTTTGTAGATTGGTGGAGCGGTTTTTAATGGATGGATAGTATCCTTAAGTAGTGTTAAATCCAGACCCTAAAAAGGGCATGGTAATCCAATGATCAAAAGGGCACTTTATGCGGCGACAAGTTTTCATGAGGGCACTTTTTAACGTCTTTGAAATTACATATATTTTCTTTATCATGTTTGTGTACTTAAATTAATATTTAATACTGAAATCTTTAGTTATACAAGTATCTATAAGAAAAATGTATAAATCTGTCAGCTTAATTAATTTAATACACACTGAGAGGGCAGTTATTGCCAAAATTTAAATTCAAATTTTTTAATCAAGAAATTAGTATGGTTATCAAGGTTATGCTTAAAAAGTAATAGGTGTGAATCTTTTTGTCACTTGCTCAAGAATTATTTTAGTTTGGAGTATGAATTTTTTTCCCTTGCTTTAATATTGTTATTTGTGTATGAGGTAAATAACAGAACAAAATTGCAATGGGTGGGGGCTACTTGAATAATAAATGTAGAGGGCATTCTCTTTATTTTGAAAATAATCTACCAACAAAATCAAGTGAACACTGATCATACCAAAAAATTAAACTTGAAATAATATATAAATTGGTTAAAACTTTTTTCTGGCTTAGAAACATGAAGCCTCTGGATGTCAATTCAAAAAGTTAGAACACAGAATCATTGAACATGAAAGAAACTAACTTCATACTTTGTTGTTTCCTAGCCCATTTCACACATAATATTCAGATGTTGTTTTTTTGGGGTACTGTACATTGTAAGTTGATTTAATTCATCAGCAGTTTTATTTTTCACATTTCTTCATCTACTCAGTTTTTTCTACTTTCAAGTTAAAAAAAAACGATCCTGATTTAAAATGTGTAACATTTTAATTTACAAATTAATCTATCTTTGACATTGGGCTAATTCTTGCATAATCAATGCAATCAAATGATATTTTCTCGTGTTATCTCTTATACCCTGACAGCCAGAGGCATGTTACCTGGCCAGGTGGCTGTGTGCGTTCAAGCGAGAAGTTATTTCCTGTCCTGAATTCACACTTTGTGTGCATTAAATAAACAAAGGGGCTAATCAGCATGCACTGAATAAACAAAGACGTATGGAACGCGGGACTGTCTTATATGAGGATTAAACATTATATGCAGTGTTCTCTTCATTATATGTGGTACTATTTTAATTATATGAAGTAGTTTTTAGCTCACCTGAGCCGAAGGCTCAAGTGAGCTTTTCTGATCACTTTTTGTCCGGCGTCCGTCTGTCTGTCTGTCCGTCTGTCTGTCTGTCTGTAAACTTTTAACATTTTCGACTTCTTCTCAAGAACCACTGGGCCAATTTCAACCAAACTTGCCACAAAGTATCCTTGGGTGAAGGGGATTCAAGTTTGTTAAAATGAAGGGCCACGCCCTTTTTCAAGGGGAGATAATAAAGAATTAGTGAAAAATTAATAGCATCTTTTAAAAATCTTCTTCTCAAGAACCACAGGGCCTAGAAAGATGAAACTCATGTGGAAGCATCCTCAGGTAGTGTAGATTCAAGTTTGTTCAAATCATGACCCCTGGGGGTAGGGCGGGGCCACAATGGAGGATCAAAGTTTTACATAGAAATATATAGAAAAAATCTTTAAAATTCTTCTTCTCAAGAACAGCAAAGCCCTGATGAGTCATATTTATATGGAAGCATCCTCAGATAGTGTAGATTCAAGTTTGTTCAAATCATGACCCCCGGGGGTAGGGCGGGGCCACAATGGAGGATCAAAGTTTTACATAGAAATATATAGGAAAAATCTTTAAAAATCTTCTTCTCAAGAACAGCAAAGCCCTGATTGGCCATATTTATATGGAAGCATCATCAGGTAGTGTAGATTCAAGTTTGTTCAAATCATGACCCCTGGGGGTAGGGCGGGGCCACAATGGAGGATCAAAGTTTTACATAGGAATATATAGGAAAAATCTTTAAAAATCTTCTTCTCAAGAACAGCAAAGTCCTGATTGGTCATATTTATATGGAAGCATCCTCAGGTAGTGTAGATTCAAGTTTGTTCAAATCATGACCCCTGGGGGTAGGGCGGGGCCACAATGGAGGATCAAAGTTTTACATAGAAATATATAGGAAAAATCTTTAAAAATCTTCTTCTCAAGAACAGCAAAGCCCTGATTGGCCATATTTATATGGAAGCATCCTCAGCTAGTGAAGATTCAAGTTTGTTCAAATCATGACCCCCGGGGGTAGGGTGGGGCCACAATGGAGGATCAAAGTTTTACATAGAAATATATAGGAAAAATCTTTAAAAATCTTCTTCTCAAGAACAGCAAAGCCCTGATTGGCCATATTTATATGGAAGCATCCTCTGCAGGTAGTGTAGATTCAAGTTTGTTCAAATCATGACCCCCGGGGGTAGGGCGGGGCCACAATGGAGGATCAAAGTTTTACATAGAAATATATAGGAAAAATCTTTAAAAATCTTCTTCTCAAGAACAGCAAAGCCCTGATTGGCCATATTTATATGGAAGCATCATCAGGTAGTGTAGATTCAAGTTTGTTCAAATCATGACCCCTGGGGGTAGGGCGGGGCCACAATGGAGGATCAAAGTTTTACATAGGAATATATAGGAAAAATCTTTAAAAATCTTCTTCTCAAGAACAGCAAAGCCATGATGAGTCATATTTATATGGAAGCATCCTCAGGTAGTGTAGATTCAAGTTTGTTCAAATCATGACCCCTGGGGGTAGGGCGAGGCAACAATGGAGGATCAAAGTTTTACATAGGAATATATAGGAAAAATCTTTAAAAATGTTCTTCTCAAGAACAGCAAAGCCCTGATTGGTCATATTTATATGGAAGCATCCTCAGGTAGTGTAGATTCAAATTTATTCAAATCATGACCCCCAGGGGTAGGGCGGGGCCACAATGGAGGATCAAAGTTTTACATAGAAATATATAGGAAATATTTTAAAAATCTTCTTCTCAGGAACGGCAAAGCCCTGATTGATCATATTTATGTGGAAGTATCCTCAGGTAGTGTAAATTCAAGTTTGTTCAAATCATGACCCCCTGGGGTAGGGTGGGGCCACAATGGAGGATCAAAGTCTTAAATAGAAATATATAGGAAAATATATTCTGAAGAAGAACAGCAAAGCCATGATTAGTCATTCTGATATGGAAGCATCCTCAGGTAGTGTAGATTCAAGTTTTTTTAAATGATGACCCCTGGGGATAGGGATGGGCCACAATGGGGGATCGAAAATTTTACATAGGAACATATAGGAAAATATCTTCTTCTCAAGAACTGAAAATCATGTTTATTCATTTTGATATGGAAGCATCCTCAGATAGTGTAAATTCAATTTTGTTCAAATGATGACCCCCGGGGGTAGGGTGGGGCCCAATGGGTGATTGAAAATTTTACATAAGAACATATAGAAAAAAATATTTCTTCTGAAGAACTGCAAAGCTATGTTTAGTCATATTGATATGGAAGCATCCTCAGGTAGTGTAGATTCAAGTTTGTTAAAATGATGACCTCTGGGATAGGGAGGAGCCACAGTGGGGGATCAAATTTTTACAAAGGAATATATGGGAAAACTTTCAAGTTCTTCTCAAGTACAACAAAGCCATTACAAAGCCATTTGTTATACTGACATGGAAGCATCATCAGGTAGTTTAAAATTCAAGCCCAAGCCCCCCCCTCCCCCCCCCCCTAATCTTTTCAATACTGAACTGATTTGTGCTTTTGCCTAGCCAATGTGCTCAGGTGAGCGATGTGGCCCATGGGCCTCTTGTTAGCTCACCTGAGCTGAAAGCTCAAGTGAGCTTTTCTGATCACCTGTTGTCCGTCGTCCGTCTGTAAACTTTTCACATTTTCAACTTCTTCTCAAGAACCACTGGATCAATTTTAACCAAACTTGGTACAAAGTATCCTTGGGGAGTGTAAATTGTTAAAATAAAGGGCCAAGTCCCCTTACAAGGGGAGATAATCAAGAAAAAACAAAAATACAGTGGGGTCATTAAAAAATCTTCTTCTCAAGAACCACTAGGCCAGAAAAGCTGAAACTTAAATGGAAGCATCCTGGGGTAGTGTAGATTGTAAATTGTCCAAATCATGACCCTCGGGGGTAGGGCGGGGCCACAATAGGGAATCCAAGTTTTACATTGAAATATAGAGGAAAAATCTTTAAAAATCTTCTTCTCAAGAACCACTGGGCCAGAAAAGCTGAAACTTAAATGGAAGCATCCTAGGGTAGTATAGATTGTAAATTGTTCAAATCATGACCTCCGGGGATAGGGCGGGGCCACAATAGGGAATCCAAGTTTTACATTGAATTATATAAGAAAAATCTTTAAAAATCTTCTTCTCAAGAACCACTGGGCCAGAAAAGCTGACTTATGTGGAAGCATCCTGGGGTATTGTAGAATCTAAATTGTTCAAATCATGACCCCCGAAGGGTAGGGCGGGGCCACAATAAGGAATCCAAGTTTTACATTGAAATATATGAGAAAAATCTTAAAATATCTTCTTCTCAAGAACCACTGGGCCAGAAATACTGAAACTTATATGGAAGCATCCTGGGGTAGTGTAGATTGTAAATTGTTCAAATCATGACCCCTGGGGGTAGGGCGGGACCACAATAGGGAATCCAAGTTTTACATTGAATTATATAGGAAAAATCTTTAAAAATCTTCTTCTCAAGAACCACTGGGCCAGAAATACTGAAACTTATATGGAAGCATCCTAGGGTAGTATAGAACCTAAATAGTTCAAATCATGACCCCCGGGGGTAGGGCGGGGCCACAATAGGGAATCCAAGTTTTACATTGAAATATAGAGGGAAAAATCTTTAAAAATCTTCTTGTCAAGAACCACTGGGCCAGAAAAGCTGAAACTTATATGGAAGCATCCTGGGGTAGTGTAGATTGTAAATTGTTCAAATCATGACCCCCGAAGGGTAGGGCGGGGCCACAATAGGGAATCCAAGTTTTACATTGAAATATAGAGGAAAAATCTTTAAAAATCTTCTTCTCAAGAACCACTGGGCCAGAAAAGCTGAAACTTATATGGAAGCATCCTGGGGTAGTATAGATTCTAAATTGTTCAAATCATGACCCCGGGGGTAGGGCGGGGCCACAATAGGGAATCCAAGTTTTACATTGAAATATAGAGGAAAAAATCTTTAAAAATCTTCTTCTCAAGAACCACTGGGCCAGAAAAGCTGAAACTTAAGTGGAAGCATCCATTGTTCAAATCATGACCCCCGGGGGTAGGGCGGGACACAATAGGGAATCCAAGTTTTATATTGAATTATATAAGAAAAGTCTTTAAAAATCTTCTTTTCAGGAACCACTGGACCAATAAAGCTGAAACTTATTTGGAAGCATCCTGAGGTAGTGTAGATTCTAAATTGTTCAAATCATGACCCCCGGGGGTAGGGCGGGGCCACAATAGGTATTACAAGGGGGGAAGTCTTGTAAAGAACTGCATGGCCAAAGTTACTCAGGTGAGCGATGTGGCCCATGGACCTCTTGTTACAGTATATCGTGTGCAACTTCCATTATATACAGTACTTCTTTCATTATATGATGTACATATGTCATTATATTATGTACATCTATCATTATATGAGGTGGTTTTATCATTATATGAAGTACTTTTAACATTATATGCGGTAGATCTAACATTATATGCAGTGAACACAACAATATATTATGTACTTATCACATTATATACAGTATATTCATCATTATATGTAGTATATCTGTTATTACGCTGATCATTAAATATTATGTCCGGTCCTGTTAGCATTCCATGCGGTAGATTTTGCATTTCGTTATGATGTAGACAGAGTATTATATGCGGTGCTTTCTCCTTTATGTGTATGGTCTTTCGGAAGCTACCTTTCGGAACCCCCTTGTTAGATTTAGAAAGTTCTACCTTTTTTTGTTCTTAGATATGAAAATTCTTAATGATTTTGGGTTATCTTTAACAATTGGTAACCAACCGCGCGTCAGCCAAAGCATCGCGGAATAATCACATACCACACAAATTTATCCGTATATTAAAGGAATTTCAAAGTCATATCAATATTTCAGTAGTTTACAACAAGAGAGAGAGAGAGAGATGCACTTATTACTGAAATAATTTTATTGTTCCATTGTATTAATTGTTAAACTATGGCGTATAACAAAAAGCTGAAATTGTCTTTAGTTATACTGTGTGAATGTTATGTAATGTATCAGGAAAAGATAAATGATTTTCAGAACAGAAAATGTATCGAGTCGTGGGTTGTACTTCAAGATTTTAATTCTAAAAAGATATGTGGTAAAATTACTCAGGAATACAACGTGTGTATATATATATATATATATATATATATATATATATATATATATATATATATATATAGAACCCCCTCTACCAAATAAAATGATAGATAAAAGGGTAATTTACATTTTGAAAAATTAGCACATCCCACCATTAAAAAAAACAAATAAATAAATAGATAAATACATGTAGTGTTTTCTATAAGTCGTTGTTAAAGCCCTGCGTACTCGAAGGCATAGGAAAGCAGTTAGTTTTTTTAATATCGTTTTTTTTTACATTGATTGTGCTATATATGAAATGAATCTTTTTGAATGAAAAAAGATAGAAAATGCCTCAATTTTTTTTTCCACTCCCAAAATATGTCTATCATACCCAACACCCCCTTCTCTCTCTCTCTCTCTCTCTCTCTCTCTCATTACTTCATACCATGAAATAGAATGGATTTTATTTTACTCTATTACCCTACTTCATATCTTTTAAAAAAAATTTTAACCTGTTCACGGAGCATTAATTATTAACTGTTTTAATGTATATACGCATGCTTTTATTGTACTGAATTCAACAGGAAAGGTCGGAGTTCTCAAGGTCGATAAGAAGAACCGAATTTTTAACAGAGAGTTCCGAAAGGTAGCTTCCGAAAGATCATACACATAAAGGAGAAAGCACCGCATATAATACTCTGTCTACATCATAACGAAATGCAAAATCTACCGCACGGAATGCTAACAGGACTGGACATAATATTTAATGATCAGCATCATCATAATAACAGAAATACTACATATAATGATGAATATACTGTATATAATGTGATAAGTACTTAATATATTGTTGTGTTCACTGCATATAATGTTAGATCTACCGCATATAATGTTAAAAGCACTTCATATATTGATAAAACCACCTCATATAATGATAGATGTACATAATATAATGACATATCTACACCATATAATGAAAGAAGTACTGTATATAATGGAAGTTGCACACGATATACTGTAAAAACTACTTCATATAATTAAAATAGTACCACATATAATGAAGAGAACACTGCATATAATGTTTAATCCTCATATAAGACAGTCCCGGCGTTCCATAAAGCCGCCAGTCCATCTTGCCTCTGCTGGGCATATTTATTTATTTTTGCAAGGAAAAAAGGGCATGGCGCTGCGCCATGCTAGTTTGCTTTAGATTTAACACTATTAAGCTTTCATGTGCACATGAATATTTCATTAATAGATCAACTACTCTTTTTTCCTTCAGTTCAGAATTTCTGTGTAATGTTAAAAAAAATAATTTTCAAATGAACTAACATTGATGAGTAGTAATATAATTATTTAAAAGTGTGTTAGTACAGCTATGACTGCTTTTTTCATCATCCTCACAATGTCAGCTCCTGAGTCCACTGTCTGTGGAACCCCAGACAAACTTCATTCATTTATTTACAGACAGACTGCAGTGACATCTTTTTGGGAAATTACAACAATTCCTGATTGTTTTTCTTATCTCTTGATCAATCTACATTAAGTCTTTAAAATTATGTTTTGGCGACAGTCAACTGTAACGTGTATTGAGGTGTTAACTACTGGTTAGGTATGAATCCTACTCCTAGAAATTCACCCAACTTCTTTTTCACAGTAAACAAATCACAGTATACAGTCAAACCTGTAGCAGCAACCACCTGTATTAAGCATCTTTCTTTCATGTGCAGCCATTAAATTTTTCCCCAAGAAAGTTTTCATTATATTTATCTGCATTCAGTGACTACATGTCTAACATTAAATGCGACCATCAATTTCCATTTTTAAGCAGTTTAAGTCTCTGAATTTAGTGACTTTCAGCCCTTGTTTCAATACAAAAGTAATTTGAGAAGCATAACAGTGGCAGTACAGCTATTGTACATCAACAGTTTTCACCCCCCCCCCCCCTTTTTCTTTCCAATCATAGTGAAGATGTCTTTGTTTTAGGCATTTGACTGTATCTTATTTATCTGTTGTCTACAAATTATTTTTATACTGAATACACTGAAGGTTAGCATATTACATGTATTTCATTTGAAAATTTATTTATAATACTTAATCAGAATCAGTTTGTTTGAGGGAATTCTCTGCAGCGTATTGATTCTTTTGTTTACATCATTTACATTTGTTTTATGTTGAAGATCATCAGATATCAGATTTGAAAATTTTCATGACTATGAAAATTTGATACTAGTAATTAAATGAATAAATATAAAGCATGAATTATTCCTTAATGAACCTAGTAAACCACAACAGTTATCAACATATGCTCTGACTCTATTCAACTACCAAACAGAACTTGGTGATGAAAAAGTATCAGTGGGTAAGGAGGACTTTTGTTTTAATTTAATTCAAGAGTGGATTGTCATTAATTTGGAATAAATACTCCAATAATTCTTTTTGCTTGACACAAGTAAAATTTTAGCAATACTGATGAGGAATTTTTAGTGGGTAGATACAATATAAATTAAATCAGAAGTTAGGGCTGGTTTTATGAACAAGTATCATATGTTGCATTAACAAGTTATTTTAAATGTGAATCATATGTTTGTCTTTAAAAAAAAATAAACAGGGGAAAATTATTTGCAAGGATGGGTTGAAAAAATCAAAAAAACTTTATCATGATTTTTTTTTTTTGGGGGGGGGGGGGGGGTTACAGTTGTATATGCAAAGTCTGTGTGAATGTATAAGTGTATTACTGTGTATTATTGTTTCTTTTCAATGTTTGGCATCTTATTAAATGGCACTTGTCAATGTCTCTATAACCATTTCTAATTTCTTCACAGATTTCTGGGATACTGCGGGGCAGGAGCGTTTTAATAACATGCATCCTTCATATTACCATAATGCACATGCTTGTATTCTGGTATGTCAAGATATCATACTGTTTATCATTTGAATACTTTAATGATACTGCCAAAGGTTATACAATAAAACCCAGTCATTATAAACAACCAAAAAAAAAACTCACATTAAAAGGAAATCTTGGTTATAATGAATTTTTTTTTAATTTTTTTTAAAATTTTATTTTATTTTAAATTTTTTTTGGAGACCTTGCACTATGTTCCAGGTTTAATGAAGCTAGGTTACACAGAAACAAATTTCAAGGTCCCAATGACTTCATTATAACCAAGATTTAAAATAATTTAAAAATATTTTGTTCCCTAAATTTTTTTATTTTCATTGTTAAAAAACTGATTGTTGGAAATTTTGAAGTTAATCTTTTTAAAATTTCATTTTAACCTGTTTATAATGCAATTTCTTTTTTTGCTTGTACATATGTACTTGGTTTATTTTTGATTAGGTGTTTGACACAACTAGAAAAGTCACATATAAAAATCTACCCAATTGGTTAAAAGAACTTAGAGAATACAGACCTGAAATCCCATGTCTGTGTTGTGGAAATAAAATAGATGGTGAGTATGCTTGAGTAAACTGAACAGAATATCAGTCACAATTTAAAATTTTATCATTTACAGCATTTTTTATAGATAATTTTTTTTGGGGGGTAACTGTTGAGTTATGAATGTAAATATATAAACCTTTAGATAGTAAGAGATGAAGGGCTGATCTACAGTGGGTTAATCTGGATCAACTTAATCCAGATTAACTAAATCCATATTCTTTAGTCTTTGTTGTGTCCACTTTGCAGTGTGCATTGTAGGTTCACACCTTTTATCCCGTGTTTACTCCTTTATACAGTGGATATAGCTCATAGGATATTGTTTTCATATCCACAGTTGTGAAGTCACAATGGTTTTAGAGTGAATTTGATCAAGTCAAGTATTGTGGATATACATATATAAAACCATGAAATAGCTATGTGTAAAATGTGGTTAAAAGAATTACCAAGGTCTGTGGATCGATATGATTTTTTTCCTACTCTTTGTGTGTTTTAATCCCCTCACCAAGGCTCGATATGATAAAAAAATCATATCCAACCACAAATGATGAGAGATCCTGTATTTACCATATGACTATTTTGAAATATGAACATCACAATGAATTCTTGTTTATATAAACAGCTGTAGTCTGACATTATTTCACAATTGGTTAGTTATAGGATTTAATACTATTTTGGTGTCTATACTGCATTACATGTAAATTCTTGTTCTTTTTTTTTCAGTGGATTATTCAATAACAAAGAAAGCTTTCACATTTCCTAAAAAACATGGCATGCCATTTTATTTTGTGTCGGCATCAGATGGAACTAATGTTGTTAAGGTATGTGAATGGGCAAACAAATCATTTTATTAAAACAAATCAACAAAAAAACAGATTTTGAAGTGCATTTTTCTTGGAGGAAACATACATGTAGCTTTCAAACTGAATGAAAATTTTTTATAAAGATGCAGAAATTTATTATATCACATACTGGTATTACTGCAATGTATACAGTTAAATCTTGACAAGGTTTTGAGGTATCAAGATTAAAATACATGGAGAAAGAGAAGTTTAGGACTTCCAACTGACTTTGATATATCCATGGTATTCGAGATATTGGTGTTCGAGATACCATAGTTCAACTGTATTTAAGAATATTCAAATAATGCATCAGATACCAGGCCAACTTTAAAACAATGTTTGTTTGCCTTCTCCTGACTTGGGATGAAATAATTGGGTCAGTAGGTAGGTTGAAAAAAAAATTTCCAAGAAATTTTCAGCATCAATCCTGAATTTTCAAAAATCTATTTTTCAAGAATGCATAAAAAAAATCATTGTTTCCAGGAGGTTAAAAAATATCTGGAGTCGGGCCATTTTTAGCCAGTCTGTCGGGAGAGGGCAACCAAACAATTTTTAAAGATGCCCCATTTTACTCCTAAATACAACTGGTTTTGCAACATTTCAATGGAAAAGTTAATACGTCCCTGACAAGTTTCAAATTTCAATAGCAAGTCTGTGTGACAGCATGGATAATGTTTTGGTTAATGAACAGCGTTTCCCAATAGCTGAGTAAAAATTACAGTGAATATTCCTCTGACAGTAAATATTTATTCCACATTTTCAGTTATTTAAAGATGCAATTCGTGCCGCAGTAGCATACAAGAATAATTCCACAGATTTCATGGATGAAATCATGAGAGAACTAGAGGTGAGGTGTTTTTATGTATTGAATCTTACAAACTGTCCTATACACAACACATTCTAAACATTTATTAACTAAAACAAGTCAATTATTATTTTTATTTGCAACAAAACTGATACATTCTTTGAGAGGTCTATAACAAAACTTATTATTATACATGTAAATTTTGTGCAACTATGAAGTATATTTACAAAGATACCATGTAATAAATTTAATAATCTGCTTATAGCATTTGTCTTTTTTTTTCTCCAGAATTTTGAACTAGAAACAGACAATACAACAAATGTGACTGATAGTGCATTAGACTCTGCCGGTAATTCAGAGGAGAAAAAAGAGGCCAAAGAAAATTCTTCCAGCTGAGAGTGGCCTTACTTAGATATTATCTACCATTGTAAAATCCATTATTATTTATTCTGAAGCCAATGGGCTCTGAGCACTATGGAGATTTACCACAGATTTCACAGAGATTGTGGGCAACTGCAGGCCATTATTTTAGTAATCTTATAGTGCTTATTAGTGCTAGAGATTCATTGGTTACACTTGAGTTCTTCACACAAACAAGAATAAGGTACTGTAACTGTGTATGTACACAGTATTTTGATGGTTCTTAAACATCCTGTAGAAGCATATCTGTATAGTAGCTTAAGGTTTTAAAAGATTATTTATGAGTTGAGTTTATTAGAGAGATACCATTGTATATTAAAAATGAGATGAGATCTTTTTTGTCAGTAGATCTTTAAAAGAAATTAAAGATACGCATGTACATGTAATTTTAGCTTACCTTGACAGAGTTGAAAAGATTTTGGATGGTATCAGCATCATTGTTGGTACCCCATGTCAAAATTTTTGATGCAGGTCCATTCCCAAAGTCATACATGGACTAAACTTGCATGTAGGAATGCCTACTACCAGACTTGCCCCAGATGTCTATATCTGTCAGTTATTTTACGAATATATGACCAGGTTTTGTCTTTGGAGTAGATTCATTCCTTAGTCCTTATATATTTTGTTATAATTTTTGGTACATGTATAATGCAGAATTGATTAATTTTTGATCACATTTCTATATTCTCTAAGAATAAAGTGAAGCTTGTATAAAGTGAAAAAGAGAAGATTTTGTGGACAGTGGTGTTTCAAATTATCTTTCACAACTCCATAGCCTTTGCAAATTATCATTTTTGGGTGTATGTATTTATATGTATTCCTTGTCTTGCCACTATGCCATTGTAGAATTACTTGCAACATAAATTTTTGCAACAATATTGACAGTTTTTCAAGTTCACGCAATATGATGAGTTACAATAACCAGGAACCTAATAGTAATGAAATGCACTTTGTACCACTATGTGATATGTCATTACTATTGAAAACTGTATTTTACTCTCATAAAAATGCTGGATTTTCAGGTGGACAAATTATTAAGCATGCAGTTTTAACAAATTGATTATAAATCAGTCTGTAAGTATAGAAGTGTTAAAAATTCAATTTTGTATATGAGATAAATTTTGCAGGTTACTGTATTATATATATATTATATATATATATATATATATATATATATATATATATATATATATATATATATATATATAATTATATATTATGGATGTCAAAATATTTATTTTCCTTAGTCGATCATTCGATTGCATTATTCGAACGATAGTCGAATATTCCGAACATTTTCTGAAAATAAAATTTTATTTTATACTTCATTGGTACATACTCAGAAACCTTTTTACTTAAATCTATTTAAAAAGTAACATCAAAATTAATGTAACGTAACGCGTGGATAGCATGAAATAAATTTAGAAACCTAATTCTCCAAAATTTATTATTTCCCAGTAAATAGAATTCATAAATTGGCCTGTACATGCGGTCATTTTTTATTTAGTAAGCATTAAAAAATTGCCAGTTGATATTTTTTAAAGCTTATTATGAAATAAAATGGAAGGGGGGGGGGGGGCTATCAAAATGTCCTCAAAACAGTTTAAAATGTAAGTGTATTGTTTTAATAATTATCGAAGTATCAAAGCAGCTTTATTCCTTGCATTTGAGCAAACTTAAAATAACAGAAGATAATTGTCCAGTGAATAATTTTACAAACAAAGCCCATTATATTGGTTGGTAATTTATTACAAAAACAATACAAGCAGTTAATGACAATTAATTCTCGCAGGAGTGAAGCATTTATAATTGCTGTACTTTCTATACGTACATGGAAAATCTACCGTTTTTTGTTGAGGAAAATTATCGACTGTCTATGAGAAAAAACTGTTTCTCATTTTTTTGATGAGAATTCCATCTCATGTATCACTCATTTATTGCATTTATTTAGTTAAAATAATATTCAAATGTTGTTTCATTATTCGATCGTCGGTCCATTCGACTGATAGTCGAATAGTCGACTATTCGTTGACATCCCTAATATATATATATATATATATATATATATATATATATATATATATATATATATATATAAAGGTTGTTCAACAATTTAATTTCTTATTGTATGATGTTCATATTTTCATACATTGTTATGTTGGGGTTTTTTTGTAGAAGAATTTAAAATTCCCATAATGTTGTTCTTCTTCCAAGCTTAAATGAAAAAGAACACTGTTTTAATGCCCAATCAGGAATATGGCCAGGGCATGTAGTATTTGTCATGTCTATCCTTCCTTCTTTCCATCCTTCCAGCCTCCTGTCTGTCCATCCACACACTTTACGTTTAGCTCAGTTTCAAAGAAACTGTTCAAGGTGTATTAACCAAAATTTATATACATGTACTGATACATATTGGTGATAGCTATTCAGCTGTGTCATTATTTTCTGACTTTGACATTCCTTGTGACCATGACTTTTATTCCTTATTTTGCCTTTAGCTCAGTTTCGAAGTAATTAGAAGTTATTTTTATCAAAACTTGTACTCTGGTACATACTGGTGGGAGTTTTTCAACTGTGCATATTTGTAGTTTATCTTTTATTTTGGCAAAATTTGAAAAGCCAAGGATTCAAAAACAGTACATTAGGTTATACCGTATACATGTATTTGTTCTGTAGATTGCCTTTGTTAAACTATCTATAGGAAATATTTTACTGCATATTTTGAAACCTATGACATGATCAAAGTTGATTCAGGTGGAATCTTTATAAAGATGCCATTCAAATAGGTATTGGTAATGTACATGTATAATGTTATTAATATAAATATATAGCTGTGTTGGACCTACATGTATAAACATCCGTCCTGTTCAGTTGAATAAAATATCTGCATCATCCATTGGTTTGAGTTACTTACATATTACTAATGAAGAAAATTTGTTGCTGGTTTAGGTTGATCAACTGTGGAAAACTTTCTTAAAGGGTCCTGGACACAGTTGCATATTGCCGTTTTGTTTACAATTTTCTATTTTTATTCAAAAATAATTTTAGTCATCACTGAGCAAGGATTCAAGTGAGTTGGAATTTGTTTCTCAGGTCTCTACTCTGAATTTACTGGATTACTGATATACTGTTTTGATATTGATCATTAGTACACAACAAATTTTCTACTTTTCTCAAATGTTAAGGATAAAGTTTACTTCATGGAAATGCGATGATGCGTGTCCATCAAACGCATCCCTTACATTACCTGCCATGACAACTATTCCTTTAGCTCATTCTTTAGATAACTATTAAATCAGGAGGATAATATATGACACTACATCACCTCCTTTAAGTATACAATCATTTAGAGAAACCCACTTATAACCCCTCCCCCCCCCCCCCCCAGTAAAAGATGCACACAACCACTTTTCAATTGCTAATGTCTCTGTAAATATGGATTTTCAGATAGAGGAGCAATCATAGTATTTTAATGCTTATAGGGTTTTTGTCTCCCACAGTTGATTCGATACACAAGAGCATGCTTTATGTATGAAAAATTTCTAAAACAAGGCAAGCTATTGACAAACAAGTTGATGAAACAAGGATATCGACAGTTTCGTTTGACGTCATCATTTCGCAATTTTTATGGTCGATACAATGACCTTGTCAGCAAATACAACCTATCATTAAGTCAATCAATGACATACTAATTGTTAGGCCATTATTTACACACTGAATTGTGTACGGATTTTTTTCCGATCATGACAAGGAGCACACGGCGGGTGTGACCGGGGATGGTCACTCCTCCACGGCACCTGACCTCTGATGTTTTTGGAGGTCCGGAGTGTTTGCTCTGCTGCCGAATTGCACTGTTTAAATGGACTTTGAGCTTACTGTTCTTTATCTCCATATTTCAATAAAATGCAGGAAGTGGATGGAGATTACTGTCTTATTATCCAAAAGGTCTGTGGTGGATATTTTGTGAGTTTTTCGCCTAAGACTTTATCAAGACATAGAAATACTACCAGGCATGGTTTGATCAAAGAAATAGATGATTTTTCGGAAAAGAATGCAATAGAAACAGTTTCGAAACAGGAAAGCCATTTCGGTTTTTTCTAAGTCTTCCTGACTCCTTTTAAGAGACCTGTGTCCTATATCCCCAATTTAAAGAAATTAAACAAATTTCGTGTAAATGAAAAAATAGAATGAAAACTGAGGTGAATAACGAAAGCCCATTTTAAAACATGTGACTTTTGAGTTTTAATTAATCTCCAGAATGCGTTCAGTATATAAAACTTGCCAGTTTTTCTGTGTTTTTCAATTGGTGGAGTTCAATACAGATATCCCTCTTTGGTCTCATGAACATTTTTCGTCCCATCGTTTCCTTGAATATCTTGTGTATCGCAGGGACATACATGAACTTCAGGTTATTCATGTTTACCAGCAATTACATGATTAGATGATAAAGAACCAAGATTTCGTAAACAATATGAGCAAATCATTTTCAAATTACACTTGTACTTGGAAGAGACATGAGGTACCTAAGCAACAAATTCTCGAATGGGTGGTTAAATAGCAAACAATCAACCTAATCAAAGGGGAAAAAATGCTTTAGCCTTTATTACAACACAAAGGGAATATTCTCTGGGAGTATGGTACGTCCTATCAGAGGACATTGTCAGCTAGGTTACCAAACAGCACAACTGCAAGATTCTGGTTCAAGAAGTAATACGTTTCAGCAAGAGTCACAAGCAGGTGGCTCTAAAGCTTCTTCATCTATGTATCAATTTCACATGATCGTTTGTTTTGAGTGTCATTTAATAGCACCTCCTAGAGATCTGGAACTTACGATGATGGTACGTAGCGAAAGTATTTCATTGAGACACTAATAGGGCCTGGAGCGCTTGCAAATGTAGATGCAAGATCAAACCTTCGACTATGATGACCAATGCCATCTTGGAGGTTTGTATGCCACATTTAGGATATCTCAAGTATTGTAAAATCTGCTGCACGTTGTTTTTATTTTTGGATTATTTTTATTTGTTTTCAGTAACTGTTTTGTCTCCTGATGAATATAGTTTATTCTGTGTGTGTATATATATAGTCAGGCGACAAAGCAAACTTTAATCAGAAAGAACTTTAGCTCACTGGTCCAATCATAACATTACAATACCGCACTTCTTTATTGGCTTTGATTACTTTTGATCAGTGACGAGATTTAATTTTAATTTAATTTTAATTTCCCCGTGGAGAACTGGGCCATGGATTAGTCCTCTCTATTTCGATCTATTTTTTGCTTTGACGGCAGCATCACTCCACCATTTCAATCCAAAGTTGTTTCCTTTCTTTTTCTACGGATCCTTTGGTCTTCCGCGTCTCCTCCGTCCCTCCAGTATCCATGTTAATGCTATACTGGCATGGCCATCTATTCTCATTCTCAGCTCTATCCATTTCCATCTCCTGGTTCTTATGATTTTGCTGACCTTATCTATATTTGCTAGTTCTCTTACTCTTTCATTTGTGACTTTCATGGCCAAAATACCCTCATAATCTTTCTCAGACATTTATGGAGGAAGATGTCGAGTGGTTTTTTTTTTATCTCCTTTGTTCATCTTCCATGTTTCAGCACAATGCAACAAAACAGATATTACGTTTGACTTGAAGATGTTCAATTTGGTCCTTCTTGAAAGTTGGCTGTTTGACCGTATCTTGGAGAGTCTGATCTAGGCTACTCTAGCAGGACCCAGTCTTCTCTGTATCTCCCTGTCCTGTCATTCCTTCTTTACTCACAGTTGCACTAAGATAGACAAAGGGATCGACGTCTTATATCATTCTTCCATTGCAATTGATTGTTATTTCCTGGTTGGTGATGTTGTTTAATCTCATTACTTTTGTTTTGGCAGAATTGAGGTTTAATCCTTTTGATCTAGATATGATGTTCAGTTTTTCCACCTTCTGTTGCATTTGTCCTTTTACTGCTTGACATGAGTGCAGTATCTTCTGCGTAATCGAGGTCATTTAGTTTGGTTGATAAATTCCAGTGGAAACCATAGATGTTTCCTTTTGTTGATTTCATCATGATCCAGGCAATCACGAGCATGAATAAGAATCCTAACACATTACATCCCTGTTTGACTCTATATTCTGGCTGGTTTATCTGGTTCAGGCCTGTTGAGTACCGGTATTTCATTAAAATGTTCCATCTTTTTCTTATCCCTGTTTCTTTTGATGTGATTGCCCCATCTTTGCTTTCCACAACACCTAAAATTTTTTTGTTTGTCTCTACACAACTTCGTGGTGACATCGTATACACTTTTCATATTATCAATTTTTGCTGCTTTCTTTGCCTTCCTAGCTAACTCATCTTTCCATGCCCGTTTGTCCGTCCTCATATTCTTTCACTTCTCTGTCTTTGATTTTGTACTCCTTCTGTACTCTTTCTGTTACCCTTTCTGATCTTACGGAGTTTAGTTTCTCTTTTAGTTGTTTTCTTTCATCTACCTTCTTCCAGCTTTCACTTCTTATCCATTCCATATGCTTTCTCTGTTTTGATCCCAAGACAATCATAGCGCTTTCATTATAGGCGGATTTAAATGTTTCCCACCGACTTTCTAAGCTATTGTTTGTTGATTGCTGATCAAAGATACTAAATCTGTTCCTAAGCTCTACTCTGAATTTTTCGGTAATGTCTTAGATGTTTAATATTTATTGCAAATTGATATCTTCTTTTGTGTTTTGTGTAATTTAAGTTTGGCTTAGTTACCAGGCTTGATCACTCCCAACATCTGCACTTCTAATTATAAATGCCCTAGCATCCAAGTTTGACCTTTTGTATACTTTCTTTTAACTGTTACATGTTTTATCTGATTGCAGTGAAGTCCATTTGGTGACGTCCACGTTTGTAAGTGGCTGTCTTTGTGTTTGAACATTGTTGTAGTCACTACCAAGTTGTTAATTTTTGATCAATAACATGACAGAATTTTCTTCTGTTGCAGTACTCTCACTTAAAAATAACTGTTAATCATATATACCTATCAACACTAGTTCTCTTTTTCTATAATATAAAAGCATATATGGCTGCATGCTCCATACAGTGACAATTTCCCTGGAGTTGTGGTGTAACGTAATATTTTTAATACTGGTGTGTATGGAGCTTGATATGGCTAAAATGAATTTTGAAAAAAAAAACTGTTGGAAAAAAACTAAATAAAATTCCAGAATAACGATTTATATTATTGATAATTTTCATCATTTAATACAACAATGAAGAGAAATGAATCTTCCTATTAAATACAGATTTATACACCAGAGTGTCCTTAATCACAATATTATTATGTTAATAACGAAACGATAGAATCATTCAATAGCATTGTACAATTTAACAGAATGTAAGCAAACGTATACATTTTATTCATTTTATTTTATTCTCCTATGCAAAAGTCATCAGATATGAGAAATGCAATGAGCAATGTAACTCTCTTTCCTCGAAAGGTAATTTAAGAAGTAACTCGTCCATAACATTCAGAGAAAGATGAATGATCCGAAATTAGAAAAAGCCGTGGTACGTGGTCTGGTTCTTTATTATTTTTATCATTTTAACTAAACAAATATCAGCTTTGACTTGTTCAATTTTATGTAATTTTCAAATTTAGATATAATTTATATGCATTCGAAAAGCGTGGGCTTTAAAGCGTTTCTTTAAAGTAAGTCTATTTTCTCATTGAAGTTTAAATACATGTACATCAATATTTTAGTTTAAAGTAATTAGGGAATTCTTAGATCATGCAAACTGCAAAGTTTTGTTTAAAATTTTAATTTAATATTTAGTGCTCATTACTTTTCGATGACGTCAAACAAGCATCGTTTTCTTACATCTATTAGTATTCATGTCGCATGGGATATATACTTAATTGCATCGACGAAATGAGTCTTCACATATTTATTACATGTATGAGATGATAAATCTCTAACCTGAGTGAAATATTCTAATACAAAACTTCTCAGTATGAACTTAAAAATTGTCGGTGTTTCCATAGTGTTTTTCCTTCTTTTACCCGGTCACAGAGGGATTTCGATCGTATTTACCCCTGGCAAAAGGCTTTCTGGATTTGTTATGGAAGAAATATCCCCCATCGGGAAAGAGATGTGCGTTAAAGAGTGTGCCAAGAGGGCAACTTGTGCCTCGATTAATTTTCATAGAGGCCGGTTGGAATGTGAGTTGTCTTTTAACAATGGAATGACAAATACTGCCAGTCTCTTATCTGATGAAGAATATATCTATATTGAAAGAAAAGAAATACCACAGGTAATTCCTTTTTTTAAATTATGTCATTTATATCTAACGATGTACATGCGTAGTTTTTTAGGATGTTTGTCAATTTTTATAAAGTCAACATAGTCAAATCTAATATGAAAATTGACAATTTGTTCAAAAAGTATATATACTCGTTATACCTGACTTCGCAAATTGAACGCGAAAATAAATTTCAGGTTTGAAGAGATCCAGAATAATGTGTGAGCATAAAAAAAATAATAATCTGTGAGCATGCGTAGTGCAATCATTGAGGTATTAGTTGAATTAAAAAGGAACAAAGGCGTGGTTGTCCAGTTTTCTATCTGTCTGAACCGCATCTTGTTTTCCATTCAAGTTTTTCAAAAAAAGAAATGCTCATGCAATCTTTGTTTAAGAGCACACTCGTAAATTGTTCATTGTATGTAGATTAATGATTTGCTGTTGTTAAAAAATTATCTTTTTTTTTTAATTTTAGGTGTATTTCGACAGATGCAATGCACCTCGCGCTTGTTCACCCCTAGAAAGTTGTATTCGGACATCTACTGGACCTAAATGCATCCAATCAGGTTTCAGATTTCATTTCATAAGTTTTTCTATAAAATAAGGTTTCCGAAAAAAAAAATTTAACACCATATATCAGAAAACACAAAAATATGAAATTTTCATTACAATTGAATTTTCCTCTTTGTCCGCATTATGGACAATTATATTATTTAGCAAAACAAATTTACATTTTCTTTTAAAAAAGAGAATGAACTAAAATTTGGAAGGGGCACATATATCCAGTTTTCAGTTGTTTAAACTGATTTTGTATGTCCTCTTTAAAAGAAATAACCTAAATATGTGGGGATGGGACTGGTGAATGGTTATGGCTTAATATCGTTTAAATTAGCACCGGAGGTAATATGAGTGAGCTCACAAAAAATCCCCCGCTGCAATTGTTTTAAAGAGCGATTTTGTAAATGTAACCTTGACCTTGACTAAATGACCATGGTTTAAAAAAAAATGACAGATCCTCTTGTCATAAGTAATCTTTTAATGAAATATGGACATCGCTAGAAAATTATGGGCCTGACATGAATTTTTACACTTTTTCTGCCAGTGTCCTTGTCGGAATGACACAGCCTCAGGCCATAAAAAAATCTTTGTTCCAAGTATGTGCTTTCAATGATTCTCCATTATAAAGTTAAAGCCCGGTCAGACAGATAGAAGGAATGCAATTACTATATGCCACCAACTTCGATTTCGGGATGGGGGTATAATAACAACCTAATATCAGATACTTAACATACGATTCATCAATAAGTGCACGATTAACTCTTGTTGGGAATGCTGTCATTATTTTTTGAGTTTCTTTAATAATTTAAAACAGCTGTTCTACTCTGTGCATAATCAAATCTTTGGAGACTTACTGCTAGGTCGTAGTATGCGGGTATAGAGGTTGGAGGTTGGTTTCTCGACAACTCAAAACGTAAATAAATTTTCGTCACTGGAAGAAGTTATCTTTGAATGATATTTAACTGAATGAATATGAAAAAGTACCAATTTTTAGAAAGTTCATAATCTTATCAATAAAATGAATTGAAGAACAGTATTTATATCTTTGTGATTTATTTCAGACTGCCCAGTTCATCATCCAGACGCGAACACCACTTCAGTCAAGGTCACAGCCACCAAGGTCGATACTGTCCTCACCTACACTTGTAATTCTGACCCCTCTATAACCTTGACCTCCACCTGCAGAAGCAACGGAACTTGGTCATCATCCTCATCTTCGTGCAAGACAACAGGTTTTTCATTCTGAATTTAATCTTGTTTTCTTTCAACAAATAACCTATAATCTCTGTTTGAGGTAACGATGTAAATTTTTGTATCTTGAAAAATTATATTGATTTTTAACTTTTTAGCGTGTTTGGCCCCCATGACGACTTGTTGGTACAAATACAACTTTACCCATGACAATGAGTTTAATGGGTGTGCAGGTGGTCCAGAATATGTCAAGAAAACAGAATTTACATCTGCTCCACTAGTGGGGGTGGTTCTGTGTACTCCTACAAGGTAAAAATATCATATATGCAAATTAAAGTATAAAGATAATACCCATCTAGAATGATCCGTTAACATTTCATTTATTCATGGAAACAGGGGTGGATCCAGGATTTTAATCCAGGAATGGGGGTCCACATCATCTGTAACAAATTTCAGTCTCTTTCTTCAGATAGATGACTCTCTTTCCATCTTAAGAGGGGTCCGAGTTTCCTGAAAGGGGGTCAGTTTTTCGTTGCTTTTACGAATTTAATAACTCTGAAAATTCCAGGGGATTCCGGGTTTCGTCCCGCCCCTTCTAGAAATGCCCATGATAAAGGAAAATAGAGGTAGAAAGTTAACCCATAAAGTATAGAGGCTAAAAAATAAATGTGTGTTTCCAATAACACGACTGACCATAGTTTCATCCTAATACTTTTTTTTTAAAGTCGGATTTTGACGTATTTTTGTTCTCAAGCAGTTTTCTCATTTCTCATAGTGCAGTAAAATTTCTCAGACACCGTAAAAATATGTCTATCCAAGTGTTTCATATATGAAAAAACAGTGAATTGAAGGATTGATTGATGCTTTCAAAATTTAAAAAAAAAACTTAAGTTTAAAAATAGTTATCACCTACCTACTAATACCCTAATTTATTTTGGCATGTTACTTGAAACACACATATTTATTTTTATTTGGCTCAATCCTGCCCACGAAATTAAATGTGCAATTTTTCATAATCAGGAGTCCAAGAATTTATTGATTGCATAAAATATCTCAAAAAAGATATTCAGTTGAAAATAAGGTGAACACATATTAATCTGGTGAAGGTAATGACAGAACGTGGCAAATAAAGACGAGCGAAAACATATGTGGGGATTTTTTTTAGTTTATATATATATATAATGGATGCAACACAATCTACAGCAAACTGTAAAAAAAAAAGTATGACACTACTGAGAGTCTTTATAAGCACTCAAACGATGATGAAATACTAAAAAGTGTTTTACTATAATGGTAATTTTATACCCTCTCCTGATACTGACTATTATTTTTTAAAAATATGATGTAGAAATGAGCTTTTGCAATGTTTATTTCAAATTTTCAACGACAAGGTCCATTCCAAAAAACGTTAATGTAAGAAACAGAGTATGGTTTAAACAGGAATACAGTCAAGGTGGCGCATTTGCCTGATAAACTCCAGTCACATTTCCAAAAACGACCAACGGCCGACGGTTTTTGAGACAAAAATAGGATTTTTCGGGGGACAGTCGGCTGATCATCAGCAGTTGTCTTGCCCGATTTTGACCTCTCTTTTCGTCGGCCAACCAATTTTGCGTCTGTCGGGCCATGTTATGATTTTTTTCTGCGTCAGTGGCCGATTCCTTCAATTAGTCTCTTCCATTCATATGTCGACTCGATATATCCCAGTGAGCTTGAAATAAAAGATACCACAGATTCTGACACATCTGTTTCATATTTAGATATTTTACTAGAAAAAGACGTTAATGGTAACCTAACAACAAAGCTTGTTGATGACATCAACTTTTCAATCGTCAACTTCCCTTACGTATGTAGTAATATACACTTATCACCTGTATATGGTGTTTATGTCTCGCAAGAGCATGCTCTACGTATGAACAATTTCTAAAACGAGGTAAGCTATTGACAAACAAGTTGATGAAACAAGGGCATTGGCTGTCTCGTTTGAAGTCATCATTTCGCAAGATTTTTGGTCGATACAATGACCTTGTCAGCACATACAACCTATCATTGAGTCGAATGCTGACTGACGTTTTTCATACTAATTGTTAGGCCATTATTTATACACCGAACTGTCTGCGGATTTTTCCGGGGTTTTTTTTTTCGATCATGACAAGGAGCACACAGCGGATGTGGCCGGTTGGCAGGGGATGTTCACTCTTCTATGGCACCTGATCCCACTTCTAAATTTTGAGGTCCGTGTTTGCTCTGCTCCAAATTTGTATCGTTTCATTGGACTTTCGAGATTGAATACTGTTCGTTATCTTCATATTTCATTGCATCAGTCATTGAATAGTCCGTCGACCAACCTTCGATCATCGTCCGACCATTGGCAGACAGTTCGTTAAGTCGTTCGGTCGACATTTAGGAATTGGGCTTTCGTAAATATCGGCCGACGGTGAAAATCAAACCGTGGCTTAGCGAACGATGTTCGGTCGACTGTTGGCCGACAAAAAATTATTTAATTTTTGAAAATTATAGGTGTTCCTAGGAATAAATATGACTTCTCCGCGTCGCCCGATACCAGTGTTGGCCGATCATGTTTTTCAGCCGAAGATACGAAAAAAATTTGGTCGGCCAACCATCGGCTTAAATGTGACCTAGGTATTACTCTACTATTATGATAAGAATACCGTATGATACAATGGAAGTTATGTTTTAAGCTGAAGGAAGACTTAAAACTGTCAAAGCGTTCACGGTAGCTCAGTCGTTAGAGCGCTCGCTTCGTGATCGGGAGGTCATGAGTTCGAATCTCGGCCGCGACTGACCTAAGACGATAAAAAATGGGTAGTAACTCTTCCGTCGCCATGCGCTCGGCACTTTAAAGTGAAAGTTGCGGGTCCTTCGGATGAGACCTTAAAACCGAGGCCTTGTGTCATGGCAGGCGTTGGAACGATAAAGATCCCTCATTGCTCAATGGCCCTGAGTGCCGAGTAAAGGTCAAAATTTGAAGCCCTTCACCGGTATCTGGTGACGTCTCTATATGAGTGAAAAATTCTCGAATGGGACGTAAAACAACATAAAATCAATCATTAAACTGTCACTTCTGGGAGAGAAAGAGCGGATCTCAATACGATGGTTATTATCAATTCTTTCTTTTGCGGAATGGGCAGCTCTGTAGTCTTTTCAGTTTTACAGAAACTTCTAATATTGATGACTACGCTGGTTGTGTTAAGGTATCCGACCCATAATATCCTCAGGTTCAATGTATAACAGATATATATTGACTGAATATTCAGTATATTTAGACATAATTTTCATGTTATAGTATCAATATGTAAGAGCGGAATGTGTCCTAATTTTTGACCTTGTCCTGTCCTTGAAGTGTTATCCCCCTTTGCTTTTAATCAATAAAAATCAGTTCTAAAAAAAATCTATCTGGTAAAAAAATTAGTTTTCAATCGTTTTTGTATTCCTAATAATTAAATACATCTTTCCACCACAGCATTTATTGATAATCTTAGTATCTAAATTTTTATTTTCAAAATTTTGCTTGTCCCCATGACTTCAATATAATCTTCATTAATTAATTACTGCTTCGGTCAATATATTTTTGAAAATTTCTCTTGATAAATCCTTTTCTACTCTAAAATGCTTTGAATTATAACATCAAAGTATTTAATACAGGGTGGATATTTCAGGTTAGAAAATGAGGTCCTAATATGGGTCGGATACCTTAATTTGATTGAAATATATCTGCAAAAATTATCATAACCCTAGCTGATTGTTTTCCTTTTTTGTGGAAAAAAGTTTTCAGTCTTTAAATCTGCTATCAAATACATGTATATTGATTCTATATTTGATCTGTATTTCAGATATAAACTATTCCTTGGTGAAAACTTAACAACTACATTTTTTAACATTGGAGACGGGAGCGGATCAGGACAGGATCACTGTGAACTTGTAGGTGGATCCCAAACTACTGCTATAATACCAGGAGATTATAACAAGTCTCCAGCTGTCACAGGTATATATATATACATATATACAAATCTTGTGTGTTTGTTAAATTTATATGAAAGTGATGTAAAAAAAAAAAAAAAAAAAAAAAAAAAAACTCATTCTTTCTGAATCATTGAAATTCCATGCAGAAAAATCATACAAATCAATTTTTTCACATGACCTTCTAAATGCTAATTTTGACGTCATAAACTTGTGCATTTTCCTGTATTTTCTTAAAAAGTTGCAGAACACATCAATTTTCAATGGAATTTTCTTTCAGATAATATTGTCCACATGAATCGCCCACAAAGATATTAAGATATGTGAATTTTCAAAGAAGTTTACACAATATATCCGAAAAATAAAATGGGCGACGTCTGTGGACACTATTTTCTTAAGGAAAATAACCCTTGAAATGGTTCATTTTGAAGCTTTTTCTGTTTAAAACAGAGAAATGCATTAAATTAATGATATATCAAATTAATCATATTTCCAGAATGGTACTGCTTTATGCCATATTTTTTCCTGATTTATCACAGTCATATACTCTACTTATAATTAAGCCAGTTTCAAAACTTTTTGAAAACATTAAATTTTTTAGGGCACAAAAAAGTTAAAACCGTACCTACCTCTCCGATTAGAAGTGAGTAAATGAATTATAACTGAAACCCCTCAAATTATCTTCATTTGTAGATAACCTGAACATCCTAAATAGCTATGCATGCTGAACATTTTTGTTTCATAAGTAATACCTGTATTAAACTTTTTAACATACAAAATTCATTCATAAAAATCTATTCAGATGTTAAAATAATTATTGAATTGAAACTTTTTTCTCTCCAAAAGCTAGGGGAGCAATTTTAATTGAAGTAGTTGCCTCTACTGACCATATCTTCCAAATCATGGAATGAATATATCTTTGTATAGAGTTGATTTGTTTTTATTGCAACTTCAAGCTGTGATTTGGAGTGAAATTTTCTCTTGCCAACAAGAGAGATCTTAATGGCACACATGTAATTAGTAAACAACAAAGTATGAAATGTTTAATAGCTGAATACAAGATTGTTCAAAATTTAAGATAGATATAAAACATATAAAATTCTAAATGTACATTATGAAAATAAAGAATTTTCAAACAAGGTTATTATTACCATGCCAATCATTTATTTGCTGGTAAATATTAACTTAAGATTTTGTGAAATTGAAGGATTGATGTTTAATGATTAAAAGGACGTAAAATAAGGATGGGATGGTGACATTATATCATAAATATATATAATGCAATGTAATTGAAATTAAATTGAAAAATAATTAAAATTACATGGTATTTTTCAGTATAATTAATTAAATTACAATTACAAGTAATTGAAAAAAAAAATGTTCAATTACAAATTACTTTCAATTACTTCTCAAAATGTAATTAATTACAGTAAATAATAATTACTTTTTTCATTTACCCCATCTCTGTTCGTAGCACACAACGCAGTACTACAGGCGCGGAATACGTCACGATGAATGGTTATTATTGTCTCTATATAGCTTATAATTCTTATACAACATATATCTGTTTACAGGTTACTTTCGAAGCCATGAGGGACAGGAGTTTCAATTTGGAAAGATTGGCATTGCGCAGTCAAGCTACTATTTCAACTCCTACCTGGAGTGTGGCGTATCAATTCCGGACCCCGTACCATAATTGGACTTTATGTACTCTCATTTTATGTCTCCCACTTTTTTTCAGAAGAATATATTCAAGGACTGTTTGGCCTTGTTTTGAATTTTCTAAAAATTGTTTTGCTATTAAAAGACTCCGTCTATTATAGTACAGTCTGAAAAATGCCACACGAAAATGATAGCAAAAGAAGAAACGCTGTATAACTGAAAATTTTCACAGTTCACTGGTAGATGCGTTTGACTGATTGTATGTTGTTTGACGTCCCGTTCAAGAATTTTTCACTCATATAGAGACCTCACCATATACCGGTAAAGGGATTCAAACTCGGTCGGTAGAGCGCTCGCTCCGTGATCGGAAGGTCGTGTGTTCGAATCACAGTCGCGACTATCCTAAATCGATAAAAAAAAAAATAGGTAGAACTGTTCCTTCGCCAAGCATTCGGCACTTTGAAGTGAAAGTTACGAGTCTTTCGGATGAGACCTTAAAAACCGAGACCCCGTGTCACGGTAGGCGTTGGCACGATAAAAAACCCTCACTTCTGAATGGCCCTGAGTGCCGAGTAAAGGTCTAAATTTGAAGCCCTTCACCGGTATATGGTGACGTCTCTATATGAGTGAAAAATTCTCGAATGGGACGTAAAACAACACACAATCAACATTCCAGAGGATAATATACTGAATGACACAATAGCTGAGTCAGACGCGGATCCAGGATTTTTTTCCAGGTAGGTGGGGGGGGGGGGGGGTAGTCCACCCAGTCAAAAACAAAAATCCCAGAAATTTCTTGCCAAGCCAGAAAAAAAGTAAACTTTTCCCAAACGTAAAACCCTGTTTCGTGGGGGGGGGGGGGGGGATAGGTTAGCCGATTCACTTCACTTCTTGAGCTTCATAGCAACTTAACAGAGGTCTGCGATTTCTAGACAAATTGTCAATCAACCCCTCACACACCTTCAAAAATCATACTTTCTGCCTTCCTTTCTTCCTTCTACAGTCACACAATGGAATATCTTGCCAGATAATATTTAAAATATATGTATTCATGAGTCGTTAAAATTCTTTTGAATCCCTATTTTGTTAAAAGAAATTTTAAAATCAGTTCATTTTGAAATACGATAAAATTTAACATTTTCTCTCTTAAGGAATATTGCAAGTAATTTGATGGCTTTGATTGTGATTGACAACTTGCCTAGAAAAATCTTTGACTGGCAATGAAAAATGACAATAGTCCAGACTCAAGGATCCTACTTCGGCTGGAGGGAGGTTCCAACTTTTTTGAAAAGAAATTCTTTTGGATACGTAAAATGGAGAAACTACACTAGGAAAAGTGTTGGGGGGTTAAACCTGTTAAATGATGTTTTTATTTTATGACTTACTTAAGGACCCTCTATACACCAGAGCAAAATGTTTTTTGGACATTGATAAAATTATATAAAATTATATAGGTGTAAATTTTGAACTTATCTATATAATTTTCAATATATGGTACGTTGTATTTACCCCCTGGAAAAATGTTCAAAGACAACAAAATATCAATGAACAGAAATCACTGTTGTTTACTTCAGTGGATAAAATATATGCAAATGAAGTGTTCAGTTAATTTATCTTGGCCTTTTTAAATGTTAAGAATACGTGAATTGATTACAAATTGAGAAATACACTGTAGATTTAAATTTATTTGAATTTAGATCTAAGGACAGATCACTCTAACTGCAGAAAAAATACCAGAGAAACAGAAGTCTTTAGTGTGCAGTGTATAGAGGGTTCTTAAGTTTGTTTTGTCTCCCCCTTCCCTATCCCCGCGCCTCCCCCTCCTGCTTATACCATACATACTGCTTATAAGCTACAAACTTTAGTCAGAAAGCAGTTTAGCTCTGTATATAGCAACTGTCTATCTGTACCACTGTGCCCTTTCTGGTATTGATTCAGAATCTAAGTTTTTCTCTGTTACGGTGCACTTCCTTTTTAAAATCGTTAACTATATATTATACTATTCACACTTATTATATCTTTTTCTTGAATGCAATGTATGGGTGCAATAAATTAAAACAAAATTTTAAAAAATGAAAATATCTGGAATGAACTCATCCTTGATATTGAATCAATTTCATCATTATATCATGTTGTAAATTTTGAATTTACTAGGTGAAAATGAATGTTACAACGTGATGTAAATTTTGCATTTACTGTACCTCCAACTAGCAAATTCAAATTAACATGATAATTGATCACAGAGTTTAGGAAGGGAATCGTTCATTATACAAACAAAGAACATATAGTATTTTTGATAAAAAAAAAAAACAAAAAAGGTTTTTTTTTAAAGGTTAACGGTCAGGCCCGTAGGAAGCAATTTCACTTTGAGGGGGCACAACCATACATTTTCAGTTGGGGGGGGGGGCACTAATAACTACCAAAATTCCTTGACAAGCAAAAAAAAGGTCATCAGACATTATTATTGAGGGGCACAAGCGTATAGTAGCTATGTTTTCTAATTCCCCCCCATGCCCCCCCCCCAGTTCCTACGGCCATGACGGTAAAAACTACAGGTAGGTCCATATGGGAGATATACAACCTACCTTTAAGTTTCACCATCTAATAGTAACAATTAAATAAAAGGATGGTTTGACAATATTGCTTTACAAAATAGAAGTAAACGAGTATTGTACGGTTTATTTGTTTGAGTTTCCGTGAAATGCATTGACTAGCTTCCTTCCTGAAATTGAACAACACAATCATTACAATCGGTGCAAAGGGAACAAGAACTATAGCCTGATTTGGATAAGCAAACGTGTATACGGTTTATTTGTTTGATTTTATGTGAAATGCACTGACTAGCTTCCTTCCTCATTACAATTTGAGCAAGGTAAACGAGACTGGTGAACGAGACTATAGCGTGATCTGGAATGACATATTGTTCTGGTATGTGTTCTGGTTCTATTAATTTGCATATTTTGATTAGAGAAATATCAGCTTTGAGATTATCATTGTTCATTATGTATTTCTTGTGAAAAACATTTACATATATATTAACCAATTTTTTTTTCTCTCCTTCATGTTTTAAATAAATGCATAAATATTAACATTTGCATATTTTGATTAAAGAAATATCAGCTTTGAGATTTTCCTTGTTCACTAGGTATTTTTTTTTTTTTTTTTGGTCATCTATCTTATCCAGGGGGACATTAACATAACAAACATTTACATATATATTAACTAATTTTTTCTCTCCTCCATGTTTTAAATAAATGGACATCAATATTTTACCCAAATATGATAGCAAGAATGTTGTGATTATCTAAATTGGAAAAGTTTCCTTTTTTCAAACGCTTTTCAAAGGGAACACAAATAATAACTTCATGTGAAATTTACATATAATCATGGGATATGTTAATTTGCACCGAGTGTTTCACACATAGAATTTGTAATAAATTGTAATGCATATGTAACTCTATTCCTATTTCTAAAAGGTCTTCTCAGTATGAACATCGAGACTTTCTTTTTTTCCATAGTGTTTTTCCTTTTATTACCCAGCCATGATGTTTATGGAGGGATTTCTATCGTATTTACGCCTGATAAAAGAGATGTGCGTGAAAGAGTGTGCCAAAAGGATATCTTGCGCTTCGCTTAATTTTCACAGAAGCCGGTTGGAATGCGAGTTGTCTTTCAATGATGGATCAACAAACCCCTCCAATCTGACAACTGATAAAGAATATGTCTATATTGAAAGAAGAGAAATACCACAGGCATTCTAACACTTTACTTATTTTATGAGTATTTTTCTAGCAATTACGGCACACGTAAATATTTTTTTCCCTAAAAACATTCATCAATTTTGACAATTAAATTTTAAATAATTAAATCTCACACGAAACCATTAAAAATGCTTGTGAAGATATGTTCATTTCCGACTGAGTCAGAAATAAAATAATTTTTGACCTCTTCCCAAGAGCAACGGGGCCAGCTTTAACTAACCACAAAGCATTCGTGGGTGAAAAGGATTCAAGTTTCTTTAAATGAAGGGCCACACCCTCTTTCAAGGAAACTTATTTTAGAATTAATGAAAATTATTTCATCCTTTTAAAAATTCCCAAGAACTACCTCACAGAAAACTTAAGATGAAGCTTATTATATAGTGTTTAATAAAGTTTGTTCAAAGGTTGGATGGGGCCACAATAGGCAATCGTCACCCGCGTGGCGCAGTGGTTAGAGCGTGTGGTCTAGAGTCGCGGAGTAAGGAGTTGATCCTTACGTCACGGGTTCAAATTCACTGCGGGACGTGGAGACCAGTCCTTTTGATGAGACTCTATAAACCGAGGTCCCGTGTCGCAGTAGGTGTTGGCACGAAAAAGATCTCCCACTGCTCAATGACCCTGAGTGCCGAGCATAGGTAAGAATTTGCAGCCCTCCACCGGCAAGTGGTGGCGTCTCCATATGAGTGAAAATTTCTCGAGAGGGACGTTAAACAACATATAAACAAACAAATAAACGATATTCAATCAACGTTTTACATATGAATGTAGGAAAAATCTTTTAAAATATCAAGAACCATTGCCATAAGCATCTACTAATAGCGTAGATTCAAGTTTGTCCAAATCATGACTCCGAGGGTAGGGTGGGGCATATTTTAATATCTACCAACACTGACTTTGTGCTTAATACATATATCATATTAACATACATATTCATATATTATATACATATTCTTATTAATGCATATGGTTTTAATGAGTAACACTTGATATAAATGATTTAAAAAACATATGAAATGTTTTTTTTTTAAAAAGATTTCTTTAGTATGAAATACCCAATTAAAATATTTATTTAATTCTAGGTGTATTCTGGCAAATGCAATTCATCTTGTTCTCCACGTGGAAGTTGTATTCAGACAGTAACTGGACCTAAATGCATCAAAACAGGTTACAGAGATTTAATCTCATTCATTGTCTATGAAATAAAATTATAGAAAGGTTTCATTGTTAAGTAAATTTAGAATGATAATAAACATACTCATTTGAGAACAGTAATGTCATCAAAAACTATTTTTTCAGATAATGATGAATGTTACCATGCTATCCATTAGATTTCATATGCATTCTTTTAAAATGTTCATTATTAAGACGTCAATTTTGATAGGTGTCACTGAGAAAGTGACCATTTCTTTAAATCTGTATAATGACACCGTTGACGGTAGCTCAGTCGATAGAGCCCTCGCTTCGTGATCAGGAGGTCGTGAGTTCGAATCTCGGCCGCGACTGACCTAAGTCGATAAAAAATAGTACATGTAGCAACTGTTCCTTCGCCATGCGCTCGGCACTTTGAAGTAAAAGTTGCGGGTCTCCATCGGATGAGACCTTAAAAACCGAGGCCCCGTGTCACGGTAGGCGTTGGCACGATAAAGATTCCTCACTGCTCAATGGCCCTGAGTGTCGAGTAAAAGGTCGAAATTTGAAGCCCTTCACCGGTATATGGTGACGTCTCTATATGAGTGAAAAATTCTCGAATGGGACATAAAACAACATACAATCAATCATAAATCGGTATGAGACAGTTCATTAATTTTGATCTTTCATCGAAAGAATTTAATGTACTAGATATTTTTTAAAGGGAGGGGACAAGCCTAAATTCAGAGATTGATTATTCTTGTGTTCATGAAATAGGTGAAGATAACAAACAGTGGTCGATCTCTAATAAACCTATACAATACAAAATCTGTAAGCAGGGCATAAAACACGGACCCATCGAGATTCAAGAGGTGGGATCAGGTGCCTAGGAGGATTAAGCATCTCTTGTTGACCGGTCACGCCCACTGTGAGCCCTAAGTATTGATCAGGTAGACGGAATAAACTGTAGTCAAATCTAATACGAGGGTTGATCCAAAAGTTATGTCACAGCTTCGATAAAATTACTACTAGTCGACGTAAAAAAAACAAAATTATAAATGAAGGAAGCTATATTTATTTCAAATCAGACCTGAAAATTTTAATTCAACATGATTTATACATTTATAAATATCGTATTACTAGTATATACAAAGTGTGATTTTGGATACACGACGTCATACATTCAAACGTTTTCCAATAAAAAATATTTGAGGTTCACGAGGCGGAACACGTTCACAAATTTCTGATCTTTAAGAATTCTTGGTAGCCATTGTACACTCACTCTTTTCATAATCAAGTCCTCTGCCAAAATTCTTTGAACTGTACACAAGACAAAGTGTTCATATCCCTTTACATTACAGATACACGCATGTCTTTTGACGACATTCCGTCCGACCTCTCATCTTTCGGTCTTCCTGTCCTCTGCTAATCATTCAATACATCCAATCACCCTCCCAAAAAATCGCTGAAACCATCTATAAACAAGACTCTAATTTTCATTCTTTTCACTGTGAGTCTAATTAATCAACGTAACTGTCTCTACTGGTAATTTCCCCATTTTGAAGTTAAAATGCAAAATGCATTACAGCTCGATGCGGAATTTTTATCCCTATTTTGACTCGTCCTTTGTTCAATGCATCAGAGTAAAACACAATGTTCATAATCAAAAATAGCAATGACGTCATTTAATTTCAACTGATCATTAGAAAATGACGTAAGTTTTGTCTTTTAAAATTATTGGCCGACTAGCAGCGTTTTTAGATGTTTTTTAATGTGTTTGTCTTTTTCATCCTAAAAAATGCCCTTTAAAACGTGACGTTTAGGTGTGACGCGGCGACACCCCTTATGCCTTATGTTTGAAACACTTATAAAATGAATTTAATTAACATTATTAAACCAAAATTTCAATTTTAATCAGATTTTTAAATGTGCATATTTTGGTGTATTGTATTTGAAAATATGACTTTAAACTATCGAATAAGTTGGGAAACATGAACACCATATGAAGGTGATAGTGGCATAAAAAAGAAAAGTTTAGGAAAATCTGAAAACATCTCGTTTTTCATACAGCTTAGATGTTAGTCGGTCGTTAATGACTTTAGTCAGTAAAATATCCACATATGAAACAGAAGTGGCAGACTTTAGATTCTTTTATTTCGAGTTCACTGGGATTCATCGAGTCATATGAATAGAAGTAACTATTGTTAATGATAAAACGTCGTCGATATATTTGAATGTCAAGTTGAAGGCCACAGCAAGTGCCTTCTTCTTCCCATGTAGAAGTTTTTTTTTATAAATGCTGTTAAATGGAATATAAAAACAGGTCGGCTAATAAAGTAACACAATTAGAGCCCATCAATATTCCAACAGATAGTTCAAAGACCTGGTCTCCAAAGATTATATAGATGTTTTCTATGAGGAGTTCCAACATCCTTATAATATAGACTTCAGAGTACTTGTTCAGATTACAAAGTAATGTTTGGTTTGATTAATCAAGATATGAAAAATTCCGGGTTCCATTGTTATTGAAGGAGCAGTTGTCTATGATGTCAGAAAGACTAGTTTTATATTTATCGTTAGGAATGGAACCCTCATCCAAGCATCTTTAAAGTTTTATAGATGTGATGGATGAGGGTCATTTTCCAAATTAGCTCGAAAGGCTACGAGGGTTTAAATGGGATATTCGTGTCGCATTAAGTTACGTTTCAGGCTAGATTCTGACGTCGGAAACATGCTCCCTTGCTTGTTTTATATCAAATTAATTTCTTTTAAACATCTTTTAAACATCTCTCCCAGTTTTATCATAAGAAAATAGTACGTTCTAGAATTTTCTGAGCTTTCTGAATTGTTTTGATTCTATCTAGAACATGAGAAAAAGAGTGTTCCAAATTTTTAAATTGATAAGTTGGAGTACTAATTTCTGGAACTTTAATTTCGTCCAAATATTTCGATGCATCTCCTCTACATACGAACAATATCTAAAACAAGCAAGCTTGGCACATAAGTAAATGAAACAAGAATATCAGCAGTCTCGTTTAAAGTCGACATTTCACAAATTCCTTGATCGATACAATGACCTTGTCAGCAAATACTATCTATAATTAAGTCGAATGCTGACGTTTTTCATGCAAATTGTTGGGCCATTATTTTCACTCTGAATTGTCTACGAATTTTTCCGTTTGTCCGATCAAGACAAGAAGTACATGGGTGGTGGGACCGGTCGAAAGGGGATGATTACTCCTCCATGGCACCTGATTCCACCTCTGACGTTTTTTGAGATCCGTGTTTGCTCTGCTCCCGAGAAAATAACGTAGAACACGCTCTACGTATGAACAATTGTATTGACCATAGAACTTACGAAATGATGACTTTAAACAAGACTGTTGATAATCTTGTTTCATCTACTTGTTTGTCAATAACTTACCTCGATTTAATAATTGTTCATACGTAGAGCATGCTCTTGCGTATCGAATCAATGAGTAATATATGTATGCAGGTGATAATATAAGATTGCGGCAAAAGTCAGGGAAGTTGACGATTGAAAAGTTAAAGTTATCACGTTTGTTGAGTTGAGCTGAGTTGCTGGGTTACCATTAACGTCTTTTTCTAGTAAAATATACAAATATGAAACAGATATGTCAGACTCTGTGGTATCTTTTATTTCGAGCTCATTGGGATATATCGTGTCGACATATGAATGGAAATAAATATTGTTAATTGATAATACGTTGTCGATATATCGAAATGTCGAGTTGAAAGTCACAGCATTGTTTTTCTTCTTCTTATGTATAAGATTTTTGATAAATTCTGCATCATATGAATACAAAAAATAGGTCTGCTAACAAGGATGCGCAATTGCTACCCATGGGAATTCCAACAGATTGTTGGAAAACCTGGTTTCCAAAAACCACCTATATATTGTCAATCAGAAACTCAAGCATCTTTTTTAATACCAACTTCAGAGAACCTGTATGTACAATTTATCAACATGTAATTCTTTTTTAACTTCTGAATCATTGAACACAGAAAGATAGGTTGTTTTCATATGGCCCTTCAATCGCTAAATGAGAGATTTTAGCATACATCTGATACACATAATCCATTCTGACAAAGTGTCAAGGTCTTCTTTCTCATTTCTGGCCCATCGCCTGACGTAATCTTTCACAGAATTCATAATATTTGTGTAATTATGTTGCCAGTTGAAAGACTGAGGTTCCCTAAATTTCGACCCTTTTAAAATAAGTGATTAAAGGTCCTCATTATTAACCACCAGGTATACTTATTTCACAATTAATAACGTGTCCAGCAGCACTATAGTTGTAGGGTGAAGAAGAACATGAACACGATGAAGGATTATGTTTCAGATGTTCGATATCTAGGCTCTGTAAAGATTTCTTGTAATTAAAAGGTTTGGAAGCAATAGTCGATGTACATTTGTAAGAAATACAAGTTGTAGTCTTCAACTTGAAATATGGTGGAATACAAGACTGGACCCTATTGTGATTAAGAATATAACTCATATTATTCACGTCAATTCCTTTCTTGGCATATTGAAGTTTAGGAAAAAACGGGTAGATTTAACTGTATTTTCTTCGGTAAAACGTGGCGGTTTAAAAAGCCTTTGATTTGCAATATCCATAACCACAGATCCGAGTCTGTATTCTGATGTCGAGGAACTTTCTTTGACCTTTTCAAGTAGACTGTTTAAAAGTTTCAACTTGGCAGAGTAAAGTTTGGTGCGAATGTGATGAAGACCTAACTGTTGATTAACATAAGGTAGTAAGACATCGTCTATAAAAGGTTTATTGTAAGACTGATGCCCGTGACTACGCTCACGTCTGTGTATGGTTAAAAATTCCCATCACATTTACATTGCTACACTGTAGATTGAAAAGATTCATTGTCATTGCATCCATGTGGAAAAGCCCTAGTTTTCTAATCTAATGTTCTTTTCGTTGTCTACGGAGAGGTGAACTCAATGATGGATTTTGGAAAATGTAAACGATTTGAACACAACACATATTTTTTTCTCCGATAAAAAAAATAACAACCTTGATTTGAACAATATTAATAAAGGAATTTTGACAGAAAATCATGATATTGGCATTTAATGAGCTCACAGTTTTAATATAGGAAATGGATTTCATCACAATTTATTTACAATTACATTTATTTTAGATTGCCCTGTTCTTCATCCAGACGCGAACACCACGACAGTCAAGGTCATAGCCACCAAGGTTGGAACTGTTCTCACCTTCACCTGTACATCTAACCCCTCCATAACCTTGACCTCAACCTGCAGAAGCAACGGAGCTTGGTCATCATCCTCATCTTTGTGCAAGGCAACAGATATCAAGCATTCTGTGATTAATATTCTTTTATCTCCATAAATTATTTAAGGTTGTTTATATGATTTCATTATAAGCAAGATGTTTCTGCTATAAAATTGATAATGGGGAATTTATCAAAAATTGTCCAGGAATAATTCTATATATCTGAGATCCTCATAAGAAGATAGTTTGACTGTATATTTGTTTTAAAAAGCAACAATGTAACTGTGACTTAAACTAGATGTATTAATGTGACACGAATGCCCCCGCTGATATATTTAAATTATAAATATTTGAAAGTTCAAGGACATGAAAATAACAAAAGGTAAAAATGAAAGAATATAGAATACCATATTGCTGCTGATGTTTTCTTGAATCAATTCAATTTCACAATCCACAAGTTACTTAAGCTGCATGAATATAATGAACAAAAATTGTCAGGAAAACCGTGAATAAGTAAATATTTTTTCTAAGTCTACGGACAAGTGAAAATGTGTCAATCAATGTAAAACTTGAACTGTAATTATCAATATAAAGAAAAACCTATGCAAAAATAAACTCATTATTTACGAGCATGACCAAAAAAAGGAAAACGGTATTATTACTATTATTTAAAGCTTTCGAAGAGTAATAACTTTTGATAGAATGGGTCAATAAGCATTAAACTCGAACTTGATCTGTAAATCATTAATACAGATATTTATGCCAAAAAATCAGTTCAATATCTACACGCATAGTAGAAATTGTCCGGGAACACAGTGAAATAAAAGAAATTTTCCGAAACTGAGGACAATAACTGGTGAAAATAGACATAAATTTCAAACTTAATCTGTTTATTATAATCTGTCATTAAATAATATGTTGACGGTGCAACCGTTGTGGCGAGCGCATTGTTCACTTCAAGAGCCGCCTTTTCAAACCGCACGAGGCAATTGGAACGTTTAGACTGTGATGTCACATGACGTCGTAGGTTAGCTGCATTTCCATAAACGAAGTTTGAAAAGTACAAAAATATTAACAACGTCTAATCTACTATCTGTATGCAATATTCATTAAATTAAGGTGAGTTTATTTTTTGTGAAATTTTGGTTGTTGTTACCGCGCGAACGAAGTTTGCAGCGAGAACAACAAGCGATGCATTGTGGGTCCAGAATTACTGCGGAAAAAAAATTCTATTGAATGAATGTGCAGTAGTTCGAATTTTCTCTTCGCCCAGGCGTTGTCGTTAGAGCTCGCAGTGACGAGCGGCGCTTCGCCGCTCGCTGCGCTCGCTATTAAGACACATATCAGCTTACATGTATAAAACAAGCAAAATCACCAAAATGTCCGGAAAACAAATAAGACGTAAAGACGGACGCAAAGGGGTAACACTTCATATATCCCGACATTTGGGAGGATGGGACAATAAAAAAGACCAAATCTTTGCAGTCCCAGTTCCAGTTTGTCCCGAGATCACAGAGTCCTGCTGGTATGAGTACAACTTTACTTGTATCAATTGTTGGAGTGGATGCGCAGGTGACAGAAAATACGTCAGGAAATTGCAGTTCGAATCAACTCCATTAGTTGGTGTGAAGTTGTGTAATTCTACAAGGTGAAGAAAAGATTTTAAAAAATCACAATTATTTTTTTATCAAAGTGATAGCTCTTCTTTTTTTTTACATAAAGACTGGTCACGGTGGCCTTGTGGTAGGGCGTTCTTTTCGTGATCGAGGGGTGATCGAGGGATACATTCTCGTTCCCTGCACCACGTCCAACCCAAGACGTAAACATAGGTAGAGACTGTCTCTTCAGTAAGCGCCCGGCTCTAGGAGTGAAACTTACGGGTCTTTTGAAACGTTAAAATCGAGGTCCCTTGTCACGGTAGGTGTTGGCAGACAGTGTTTTGAAATCCCGATCGGCCTTTTCTCCGTCATTCTTAACAAGAAAGATGCAAGAATTTAACACTACGCCGCATACTTTGAAACATGTAATTTTTGGCGATATCATAGCTTGTCTTCTTTAGTACTTGGAAAGTGCTGCTAGAATCATGTAGTTAATTTATGAAAATTCATCTTATATACAAATGCAAAAATTTTGGTAAGGTTTCACACGAAAGTGTGGAATAATTATTTCTACGACAGGAGAGTAGGTTTCTAGCAGCACTTTTCATGGCCCAGAGATTTTTTTTACATATAATTATTTTTACAAAAAGAAATGAAGTACCCCCAGGGTAGGGTTGATCTTTTCACTTTTCATTGAAGCATAATTTTCTATTTATAGACATCACATGTTGACATCGTTTGTTTGTTTGTTTGTTTGTTTTTTGTTGTTGTTTAACGTCCCTCTCGAGAATTTTTCACTCATATGGAGACGCCACAACTTGCCGGTGGAGAGCTGCAAATTTTGACCTATACTCGGCACTCAGGGTCATTGAGCAGTGAGGGACCTTACTGTGACACGGAACCTCGGTTTATACGTAGTGAGTGCTTCTTTAAGCCAAAGACTCATTAACGTCTATACAATGGATAATAATAGTGAATGTTTTAAGATGTTTTATTAGTGGCTTTTCTGATTTATCAATATTAAATTTTACAAAAAAAGTGTGAATTTGTGTTTTCTCAATGTGGGCAGATAAGGATGCATCGTCTGCGAACAGCATTCCTTGACTCTGCGTACTTTTGTTTTTGTTCTGAGTTGGGACAGATTGAAGAGATTCCCGTTACTCCTAGTGTGGAGAAAAACGCCATCTTCAGACCCCTCAAAGGCGTATTGTAAAAGCAGCGAGAAAAATGCCGAGTAGTGTTGGTGCCAATACGAATCATTGCTTTACACCATTTTTGATTGGGAAGGGTTCTGAGCATGATCCCTCTCATTAGACAGTGTCAGTCATATCGTTGTGAAAGAACATTATCATTCCCAAAAGGTTTGGAGAACATATCGATCTTATGTAAGAGGATGAAAAGACCGTTTATACTGCTCAGGTCGAATGCTTTGGTCAGGTCAATAAAATTAAAGCAAGGTACGTGTCATCTCTGTTCTCGGCATTTTTCCTGTGATGCCAAGGACACTCTATGATGTGATTTGGCTGGAAAGAATGTGCTAGTGATATAAAGGTCGTGTTGGGAGCATAGTGCAAAAAGTCGCTGCCCATTTTCAATAAGTTTGCTAATACGAGTGTCCAATGCAATGTAGACAGGAGCTGTGTTCCAAGTCCACCCGAGCATTATTTGATCCTTTGAAGGGCTTTCTCTAAGTTTGGACTCAAGTTCCTCGTAGAATGTATCTTTTGTCTCAGATGTAGAGCATAGAGTAAGGGCATAGATTCTGAGTATGTTAATTAATAGGAACAGAGGAGGTCAAAGGGCGGAGGGAAATCATAAGTGCGGTCTCCTAACCCCTCCCACTTACGCCAATACGCTCTAGGCTTATCACTCATAACTGATGTTTCCCAAATTGGTTCTGCCGCTGGAATAGCGGTACTGAAGTCACCTCTCGAGTTTGAAATCAGAGTGTCTTTCTCCTACACGACCTGCCTTCCTAGGCTACCGAGTCCCGTCTATCCCTCGCCCCTTTGTTTCTGCCTGGGTCCGAAAAGTGCCCAGTGTCTATCTGCTGCCACGAGGAGGGGCACTACATAGGACTTGTTGTGGAGAGGGTATGTACTGGCAAAAAAAGGCTTATATGTTGCATTTTGGCATTCCTGCTAGCCATTGGTGAGGTCTGTAAGCTTTTTGTTTGTTTGTTGTTTGACGTCCCTCTCGAGAATTTTTCACTCATATGGACACGCCACCACTTATCGGTGAAGAGCTGCAAACTTTGCCCTATGCTCGACACTCAGGGCCATTGAGCAGTGAGGGATCTTTTTCGTGCCAGCACTTACTGCGACACGGGACCTCGGTTTATACGGTCTCATCCGAAGGACCGGTCTCCACGTCCCACAGTGGGATTCGAATCCGCGACGTAAGGATCAACTCCTTACTCCGCGACTCTAGAGCAGACACTCTACCACTGCGCCACACGGGCGACAGGGTCGTAAGCGAGAGGAGACAAACATAGAAACAAACACAAACACACTAGACGCTTACACAACCTTACACAGATGATGAAATAAATAAGATATTATCAAATAAGTGCTATAACTGATGTTTATAAAAACATATTATGAGTGTAATAAAATCGTGATTGAAATGCTTGTTATATACACGATATTATCAGCAAAATAAACGCGATATATTATGATTTGAAAAACAAACACGACATTAATTATCAGTGAAATAAACACGATATCATGATTGAGATGAACGCACATATGTTATAGTACTACTACCACGTAGTATCGGGGATGGGGGTTAAGTTGACCCTACTTTTTCCGATCTTTATACATGTATATGACAATTGTCATTGAAAGGCCGGTTGTTCCCGACATTAAAACTTTTCTCCTCGTGAAAGTTGAAATTTTACAACACCCAACCCCTACGTGCCTGGTAAAGGAATACATGCATTTCGGTAGATATTGCATGCGCGGATGTAGCGGGTGGATGGTCCAGACCGCCCTCGAATTTTCAGAGTTTTCAAATTTGCATAGTAAAGGAAAAGATGACCTTGGATGCCCCTGTAAAAATGGACTTTGGTCAAATGATTAAAAAAAGTCATTAATATACGAAGAAAAAAAATTGGGGGGGGGGGCAAGTTTATTTCCCTTGTCAATAAAGGTCTGAAATGGATTTTTTAGTGGGTAGACCCCACCCCTGGAAAAAAAATCCTGGATATGTGCGTATACACTCTCACTAAGTCTGAAATAAATTACACTAAATACTAGCTTGTAAACAAATCTGTCCGAAACATGTAGGCAGCATTATTCTTTTCTTTAATTTTTTTTTACTGATATATGGTAGATTTATTTCATCACAGATATCAAGTATTCGTTGGAGGTATTTTGACTGATTCATTTCTGAATGTTGGTGATTTGTCAGGCAGTAGTGAAGACCATTGTGAACTGGTCGGGGGATAGGAGGCGGACTTCGTCGTGCCGAGGGACACTACATTCGCTCCTCCAGACATCATTGGTATGTACTGTGTGC